TAGTGCAGCCTGATGTGTGCAACCCACTCGACACGGGAAACCACCACCGCTGAAGCGCCGTCCACCAACACGAAGAGCTCTCTAAGAGCGCGCTGAACTCGTTCAGTCTTCTTCTCTCAGTAGAGTAGTCAGGAGCAGAACGATGTGATTGCTCGGCTCCGAAGCGAAAAGCTGAATATGCGCTGCATCTGCTGCCTACTTATACTCACGCTGTGATCAGCAGTAGCTGGATGCAATAATCGCATGCCTATGTGCATTGGCTCGTTTAGTTTACACTCGAAGTAGATTGGTCCCTCTAAGCGAGATCCCAATTTCGTCGGTCATCCGACGTGACGTCGAGAGTGACCGACTGAAAGGGAACACATGATCAGTAGGGGACAGTCATGTGACATACTATACTGAGACGGCAGAGCACATTAATCATGGCGAGCTGTAGTCTACTGAAGTTTATTGCGTGTACTGCGCAAAGGCCAATAAATGTTCATGATTCTGTTATCAATAGTAGCTTAATGTGGTACGACCAGAAAACCAACATACAGTATTTTTGACCACACTCGCCTTGTCTGATGCACAATTTACTACAAAAACAGACACCGTCAGCAATCTCTCACATCACATTAAAGAGTGAGAAAAACACATTATTGAAAGATATATTGTTTGTATTTCGCTATAAAACTGACAGAATTTGAAAGCTTAGGCTTTGATTTATATTAAAAGCACGAAAAGCACAAAGCTTATTGCTATTATTGGGGGGCTGGTGCAATGTGAAATATTATTTTCAAGCATACTGTCTCTGCAAGTATATGACACATGCTATGATTTCTGCTAATAATCCAACATTTATTCAAATTAGTTTCTCCTGGTGTTCCCAATCCGGGCCATTTACATGCTCAAAATACTCTCAAAACATTATAACTTTAATCTCGTAATTGCTACGAATTAATTCTTGTAATTTTGACTTTATTCTCAAAATATTTTGACTTTATTCTCATAATTTTCTCAAAATATTTCTTAAATTTTTTTTATTTTTAATGTGGCACTAAAATGCTGTCGTACATAATGCTACGCCTTTATTGTCAAAATAGTATGAGTTTAATCTCATATTGCTACGACTTCTGCCGTGAGAAAAAAACACACGCATTCTTAATGGCCACATCTGTATCTCTAATAATCTGTCTCAGTGAGATGAGATTGAAATGATCCGAACATATAATGCAATGCTGATTGAGAGCTGAAGAAATAAAGGCTCCTCAGAAGATGTGAGATGTTCTGGAGGCTTGTGAAGATCATTCCTCCGCTGAGGAACAGTGAAAGTAAAGCTTCTGGAAACAAACGTTCCTCGAAAGATCCTGAGGATCAGATTTGAGACTCTAAAACATGATTGATGGAGAATCAAGTAAAGCTGAGCTGCTTCAGTCCAGTAAGTGTTCATCTGGAGATATTACTGCAGTTATTCTGACCTTTACTTGATCAAAATCAGTTAAGATTTGACACGAGAAGCTCCAGCTGAAGCTGGACGTATCTACAATTACACTAAAAGAGCTTTACTGGATAAAACACTCTAAACTCTCAATCAGACGACAGAAGACACGAGGAGATTGAGTGTGACAGCAAAGATTCGATCACTTAGAAGACTTAGAAATATTATACAGTGGCTTCTTAGGGTTTAAGTACCTGTTGCTGTTTTTCTGCTGGTTTTCTACCTTTAATCTGCGTCACGGTGGAGTACGTCACTTTATCCTACAAACACAAACGTCATTTTATTTGTATTTCATTCATGAATAGTGTATTATATGCTGATCATGAACAGTTCACCTCATCATTTGATCTCTGGATCTCTCGGCTTCCTCTGCTTCCTTTTTTAGCTGTAAGATTGCAATGATTTCAGTTTAACACAAACTATCTATAACAATCTATATTTTTAGTCATAGTGCACATCTCTATGTGTATAGTGCTCTAACATAGTGCATAGATTGTTGGTCGTGTGTGTGTTCGTACCTCTTGCAAATCTCCAGAAGATGCATCCAGCCGCCGGCAGCAGCATCAGACAGAGCAGAAAGACCAGAAATATCAGATAGTATTGATAACCGAGAGCATTTATAACAGCAGAATCTGAGAACACACACACACAAAAACATTAGTTCACAATCATGAATATCCTCATTTATGTTAACAGCAACTCAGATGTTTTATTTAGTGTCTCAATGTAACACTGTCAAGCTCAAAGAGAGTCACATAATTGTATCATTTCAGTTTAATCTGAACGTAATCTGAGGTGTTTTACCTGTAAGAGTGAGAGTGACGTGTCTGGATTGTTTGCCGTTGACTGAACACACATACAGTCCTCCGTCAGTCTCGGTCAGGTTTGAGATCCGTAAGAAGAGATTATGAGGAGAACCTCTGATCATCTGGAATCGGCCGTTGATCTTCTCAGTGTCTGAAACCAGCGTCTCATTTACAGCTGCTCGCTTCCATTCAAAGTGCTCAGGTTTGGTTTTGGGATCTTCACAGGAACATGGAAGAATCACGGATTCTCCTGCATATGAGCTCTTGGTGACGTGATGTTCGGATAAAACACAGCCTGCAGGACGACAGAGAGACTCAAAAAACACTGACAAAAACATGCTGAACTCATTGAGAGATTGAGTTGATTTAAGCACAACAGTTTCACCTTTAACGAGGAGTCTGGTGTCAGCGGATGTTTTGTTGTTAACTGTGCATCTGTAAGTCCCCTGGTCTTCTTCAGTCAGATTGGAGATCAACAGAGACAGATTTGATGGAGTCGTCTTGTGAAACGTGTGGACTCTGTCTTTATACCGTGGAGATTCATTGGACACTTCAGTCCCACTGGACTCTACGTGGGTCCATCTGAAGTCCTCAGGTTTGGTGTTTGGGTCTTCACATGAGCAGGACAGAAGCACAGAATCACCTGTGTACTTCGTTTTAGGTTCTCGCTCAGTCTCTGACAGTGTGCATCCTGTGAACAGTGTGAAACCTTTGTGTTATGGATACTTTTCTTTTGCGGGACAGTTATGCAGGATGGGTGTAGTTTAACCCTTTTAATAAAAACTTTGAAAAAACTACAATATGCAAACTGTGTAAATAACCTTGTACACAGCTAACAAAAATGTGTTCTAACTACATTTTGCAAATTATTATTCCGTTATCACTACAACATTATTTCTGAATGTTCTCTGCACATCTTAAAGAGTTTTTCTTGGTTATGTGAATATTAAGGGAATATGCCATTTGATCATTTTGTGTTAACATTTTAAGAACATTATAAAAGATCAGGGGTGTTATAAGTAAACTAAAAATAAAACAATAAAAAAAACTACCTATATGGAAGTAAAATAATGACAAATGTCTTTGAAACAAAACAAACATGTTGAAGTAAATAAGTAGAAGTTATGATAATTAGGGCCAGTATATATGCGGAAAAGCTGATTGTCTTTATGTTTAGGCTTAGTTTCTTCAACTTTGTATGGCTTGTGTGATGGTGGGTTAGGGTTAGGGTTAGGCCTAGCCTTTTTCACCCATAGAAAACAAAGCGCCTTAGATTTGGATTTGATATTCGCTGCATATTCTTTTAGACTGCTGTAGGGACCGTCTGCAAATGTACACAGTACAGTTTATTAAAATCAATGTTTACAAGGCTATAGTAAAGAGGGCAAAATTACTAAATATATATTTCCAATATCAGACAATACTTCCTCTAAGTGTGTACAGTACTCAGTGTATTTTTAAGAAAACAAAAACAGTAATTCACCAAATTGAGTTTTTTTGGGGGGTTCCAAATGTTGTATGTTCCTAGTGACCAGACTGACTTACTACAGATACATTTGACCAATATCTTTCTTACTGTACATACAGTATATAATTATTCACCTGAAGTTTTTTCCCCATGTTCCAAAGGTTGTAATACATTCCTAGTGACTAGAATTACTTACTATACGTAAATTTTTGTGCCAATACCTCCCTTACTGTACCTACAGTACACAGATATTTTACATTACAACCTTTGTAACATGAAAAAACTCTTGGGGACTTACAGTAATTTTTTAATAATTGTGTACTGTACATACAGTAAGAGGGGTATTGGCAAAATCTCACCTGTAGTAAGTCAACCTGGACACTAGGAACATACTACAACCTTTAGGAACATGAAAAAAGCCATTTGGGGACTTTTTTATGACCATAATTGTATATACTATTGAGTAATACAATGACAATGTGTAATTTTAAATGTTAAAAGTCATTTTAATTACAATACATTGAACGTTTTAACCCAGTCGGTGGAATTGTCAGACAGCGCGTCAAAGCTTTCTCCTGTTTTGTCAATATAAAGTGGTTGCATATCGTTAAAACTTATCGTGGTAGTGATATATCTGTAGGACTGTCGACTCGACTCTATATCAGTGTGGCCAGAAGAGAGAGAGTATAGGCTACTATGTGTCAAAAAGTTTGATTTAT